CTTCAGAAGAAACCAGGTTCTTGGGGAATCTGTTCTGTGCAGCAGCAGAGAGAGAACAGCAGACAGGAGAGAAGATACTGGAGCTGTTATCATCAATGTGCAGATACAAAACATCCCCACTTAAGGAGCTGTGGTGTGATTTCCTACTGGACCTGTACACTGACGAAATTAAAACAAGTACAATCATACTTCCATCATTAAGATCAGTTTTCCAGTCAAATCCTGCAGTCTGGTTCGTAGACCTCTCAGAGAGAAAGTCCTCCATCCTCCTGGAAGTGTTGAAACTCCAATCAGAGAAGACACAAGTGAATGTGACAGGCTGGTCACATGAAGAGAATGAAGTGAGGAGTTTCCTGCAGTGTCTGCCTTATATCTCACAGCTCAGGTAAATAACTATCTTTTTGTGCATTCTATTTTCACGACAATTTATGCTGACTTGATTCTGCTTGTAGGTTAAAATAGTACAAACAATTCAACATTAGAGTTAAGTTTTAGTTTTATGTGATAAAATCTACAGATGTTTTGTAATTCTTGTGATTTCAGTGTCATGCCTCAGTTATCAGAACCTTCAGAAGAAACCAGATTGTTGGGAAAACTGTTCTGTTCAGCAGCAGAGAGAGAACAGCAGACAGGAGAGAAGATACTGGAGCTGTTATCATCAGTGTGCACATACAAAGCTTTCCCTCTAACGGAGATATGGTGTGATTTCCTACTGGACCTGTACTCCTATGTGACTACAACAGGTTTGAGTATTGTTTCATCATTAAAATCAGTTTTCCAGTCTGGTCCTGCAGTCTGGTTCGTAGATCTCTCAAAGACAAAGTCCTCCATCCTCCTGGAAATGTTGAATCTACAATCAGAGAAGAAACAACTGAATGTGACAGGCTGCTCACATGAAGAGAGTGAAGTGAGGAGTTTCCTGCAGTGTCTGCCTTATATCTCACAGCTCAGGTCCGTGATTATTGCGTTCTTGATTTCTGTGTTTACAAGAAACTTTCTTTTCTAATTCAAATGTTACTGCTTTCAGCTGTAAGCATTAAATCACATTTCATACCACACTTTACAGAAAATGTCATTTTGAATAAATGCATACATTAGATATTTTTAATCTTCGTGATTTCAGTGTCATGCCTCAGCTATCAGAGCCTTCAGAAGAAACCAGATTCTTGGGGAGTCTGTTCTGTGCAGCAGCAGAGAGAGAACAGCAGACAGGAGAGAAGATACTGGACCTGTTATCATCAGTGTGCACCTACAAAACTTTCCCNCCAGCTCTGCAGTGAGCAACAAATCAAGTTTTCAGATGCCAATATTTGATCATCACTTTGTATCACAATGATTCACTTACATATTTAATTTTAGAAACAAATCAAAGTAAATATTATACTGTACATGATATGAACTGTTGATTTAGTTTCACTCTGGATGTTTCTATTTTGTTGATGTATTGTATTTTGCTCTAGAAACTCATGAACTAAATTTATTTTAAACTAGAATTGCAATTGAGAATGCAGTGATTTCAAAAACAGGATTACAGTTTGTGTTGTAAGTAATAGTATAAAAAATATGTTCGGCTGCTTTGATGAAAGATGTGGGCAAGGCTAAGTTTCATTAAATAAAAGATGGACATGGACAAGAAGGAATTAGTCCTTTTTGTGTGCTTGTATTCATGTAACTGAGATCTAATCATTTCAGTTCTTTCTTTCTCATTGTTCCAGTGTTGTGTGGTCAGATCATTACACACAAACCAGGTTCTTGCGGAATCTGTTCTGTGCAGCAGCAGAGAGAGAACAGCAGACAGGAGAGAAGATACTGGACCTGTTATCATCAGTGTGCACCTATAAAACATTTCCTTTTGATAATCGATCCATGGACAATGAATATCACTGTAATTTCCAGCTGGATGTGTTCTGCCATGTGAAGAACTGTGAGACTAAAACAGGTTTAAGTGTCCTTCCATCATTACAGTCAGTTATCCAGTCAACTCCTGCAGTCTGGTTCTTAAATCTCTCAAAGATAAAGTCCTCCATCCTCCTGGAAGTGCTGAAACTCCAATCAGACAAGAAACAAGTGAAGCTGACAGGCTGCTCAGATGAAGAGAATGAAGTGAGGAGTTTCCTGCTGTGTCTGCCTTATATCTCACAACTCAGGTAATGGACGTTCTCTTCATGATTCCTGTTTTTTGTCATCTAGTTTTCTGTGTTTCCACATACAGATTGAAATATAACAAATTTCATACCAAAGTTTGGGGGAAAAGTTGTTCTTTCTTTAAGAATAAAAAACCCCACATGCATCACAACTGTGTTAATCTTTGTGATTTCAGTGTCATTCCTCAGTTATCAGAACCTTCAGAAGAAACCAGGTTCTT